GATCTGAAAGAGATCTCAGGAAACTGAAAGGTGAAAAGAAAAAAGTGAAACAGTTGCTTTATTCCCCCCCACACACACATACACCGCCACCCCATGCTCCAAAACTATTGTCCTTTGGGCTATGTTTAAAGTCCTAATATATATGTATGTATGTATGTGTGTATATGTATTTTTTTTTTCCCCATTCACGACAGAGCATGTACATACACAGGAGAAAAAGCAAAAGAGGGGCCAACAGGTGACATGGTGGTTAAGATACTAGACATTCCCATATGGATGACTACAGTTCAAGTCCCAGACCTGGTGGCTTGCTTTCTCACTTTCCCTCTGTTTCTTTCTCTCTCTCTCTCTCTCTCTCTGGTCAAAGTAAAATAAATTAATGAATAAATAAAACTGAATAAATAATTCATTTTTAAAGAAAAGAAAAAGAGAGAAAAAGAGAGAGGAAGCACCCTCCACAGGGCTCGGTCACACCGTGATCCTTTTCCTCCAGTCTTCCAGTCTGCCAGGATCCTGGGTACATGCTCAGTGTGTTTTCAGGCTGACCAGGCCAACAACTCAAATCTCAGCCAGCATGTGGTTTCCAGCTCTGTAGCTCCACATGCTACCAGCTGTGTCACAGAGGCCAGGCATAGATATATCATATGTGTAATTTTATTTATGTTTTCCATGAGAGAGAGAGATGAAGAGAAAGCCAGAGACAGACATACAGCATTCCCAACACCCAATGCTCCGGTCCATCCCAGCCTCCACCAGCCTGGACCATGGGCATGCATGGGTCTGCCTTGAAGAGCATTGCGTTTTACCTCCACACCACCAGCAGGCCTCGAGGTAATGTATATTGACAAAACACTTGTAAAGAGATATCTAGGATAAAAGCCCTTAGGGCTGAGGTTCCTAACCTGGGGCTGGAGCTGGGGGAATTCTAGCTCTATTCTGTAATAACCCAGACACTCTTCTCAGAAGAACTGAACACACAGCTACCTTGACGCAGGCAGTTCGTTTCAGACATATCCATGGGCTCTGGACTCAGAACCCTTACAGCGTAGAGGAAGCAATGTGAAAGAAGGTGAGGGAAGAGCAAAATCAAGTCCAAGAGTAGCACTTTTTTTGGTCATCCTGACGCAGCAGCCCATGGAGAAGACCCTAGAATCTCCCACCCCCCTGCCTGCCTCTGCCTCTGGCTCATTCTCTCAGGTGATGAATCCACATCCATCTGCCCTTATTGTCTCCCAGAATTACCCTCTGAGTTCCACCCCTTAAACCTCTGGGACTTGGGGCCAGCAGATGGTGTAGCAGTTATATCACTGGACTCCCACATGGCCTACCACAGTTCAAGTCCCGGACCCAGCAGCTTGAAACTCATGCCAGGCATGCGTGTGTGTGCACTCCCAAGATCCCAAGAGGAGAATGGAGGAGAAGGGACAGAGTGGCCATGCCCCCTAGGGAGAGTTTTCTCACTTCCCTTCTTATTGTCTCTGTCTCTCTCTCTCTCCAGCAAGTGTATGCACCTCCAAGGCAAAAATCTCTCAAAAAAAATCCTCTGGGAGGGACCAGCAGTTAGTGTAATGGCTATGTTGCTGAACTCCCATGTAGCTGACCGCGGTTCGAATCCCGGACCCAGTGACTTAAACTCACACCAGGTGCGTGTGCATGAGTGCCCAAGATCCCAAGAAGAGAATGGAGGAGAAAGGATTGTAGTGTGGCCATCCCCCCTGGAGGGTGATTTCTCTCTTTCTGTCTCTCTGTCTCTCTCTTTCTGGTGAGTGCACGCACCCTATAGTAAAAACCTCTCAAAAAAAAAAAAAAATCCTCTGGGACTTGCAGTTTTTCTAGATCCTGAGGAAGACAGGCCCTGAAGACATTTCATCCTCCCCTCACAGTTGGTCTGCATAGGTCACCCACAGAATGTCCCTAGCTAACCCAGAGGACCAAATCCAGCCCTCAGCCCCTCCTCCTCTGATATATGCCCTGGGGAGAGCCTACTTTCTGAGGGCTCCTGAGCCACTTTATTTTTAAGTACAAATCCCATTCTAGGTGCCTTGAATAACTTCCTTTCCATTCTCATCCCAGTGCTCAGAACTTCCAGCTTCGGAGCAAACTACAGGCTGCCTTTGTCTGAATATTTGCATATCTAAAACCCACATTTGCATTTTATAACTTAGACTCCTGGGAAACAGGTCAGAGTCCAGCCCCAACCAACTCTAGGGAAGGAAGTATTTACCGGTACATTCTCTCACCCAAGTGTGTTGGAGAGCAGAGGTGTGTTGTGTGCATCCTCCATCTCCATAAAGCTGTGTGTTCAGGAAGCAGCTGTGAGCATCCTTCACCCAGGTGTGTACTGGCTCAGGCATGTCCTCTAGCTGCCCTGATGTGTGTTCTCTCAAAGAGTCTGCATGCCTGTGAGTCTCTTTTGGATGTCCTCAGTCTGTTGCATGGGCCCTTGGGGTAGATGTTTGTAAGCCCCCCATATCCCATTTCCTCATTTGTAAAGTGAGATGACAAGCCTAGCCTTTATTTTCACAGGCTCATTGTGTGAAGGTTGCATGAGTTAACGAAGAGCACACACTTATAGCAGGGCAGGGCACGCAGGGCTTGCTGGATAAACATTGGCTATTGTAATGTGATTCCCAGCAGAAACCTCCAGCCCCTGTAGTCCTTTCTCCCCACTACTTTGAGCCCTGGAAGAAGCTTGACTCCTCCTCTCAGAGATGTGACTGCTCTGAGCCAGATGGGAACCGAATCACAGATCAGTGACAGCAGCACAGCACAATCTGTCTTCTCTCAGTGGGCCTGCAAGCTGAGCCAGAGCTCTGGCTGGGGAGGAAGGCCCCTCAGCCTCTGCTGGGCTTGGGGAGGATGGCAAATGAAGAGGAGGCACTTAATCACCAACGAGCTCAGGGAGCTCCAGAAAAGTGCAAGAACTCCAGAGCGGAGGGGTACCCCTAGATAGGCCCCAACTAGAGTGCTCAATGCCCACTCAGGAACCCAGTAGAAATCTTCTTGGAGACCACATGGGAGCTGCCTCCCTGGAAGAACCCTCTGTCTTCCTCCCCCACTTCTCTTGGCCTTGGGACACACACGCCTCTCTAAACTGGTTCCATCCAGCCCAAAGCTGGGATTTGCTGGGGCTTGTCTCTCCTTTCTTGAGCAGCGTTCCTGCTAAACTTGATTAGTTTGGTTTTTATTGTATCCATTCATTAAATAAGTATTTTATGCAAACTTCGTAAGGAGGAGGCAGCTTTGGAGGACTTACAGAAGCAAAGAACTCTTCCAGGCCCCAGACAGTTCCCCATATAGAGGAGCATCTCCACCATAAGACAGAATGAAAGACAGCCACATTGGAGATATAGGCAAGGACATTTTAAGGGCTTTAAGGATCTGGTTCAGGCTCTCCCAGAAGGCTTCTTGGAGTAGAAGACAATAGATGGGAGCCTTAAAGAACATTTAAACAGGGGCCAGCAGGTGGTGTGGTGATTAAGGGCACTAGATTTCCACATGGCCGACTGGGGTTCGAGTCTTGGACCTGGCTTTCTCACTTTCTCTCTTTTCCTCTCTGGCCAAATTAAAACTAAATCAATAAAGTTAAAAAAAAAAAAATTGGGACCAGCAGATAGCATAATGGCTACGTCGCTGGACTCCCATGTAATTGACCGTGGTTCGAGTCCTGGACCCAGTGGCTTAAACTCACGCTGGGCGTGTGTGCGTGCATGTCCAAGATCCAGAGGGGAGAATGGAGGAGACGGGACTGCAGCAATGGCCATCCCCCCTGGGGAGTGATTTCTCGCTTTCTGTCTCTCTGTCTCTCTCTGTCTTTCTGGCGAGCACACGCGCGCGCCCTATAGCAAAAACCTCTCAAAACAGAAATTTAAGATAGGGAAGTTTCTTTTCATTTGCCCAAGCTAATCTCTGAAACGAGCCCTCAATACGCAGCAAAGCGGTCTAATTCCCGACAGATACCCATCTTGCTCACAGCTGTCTGCCTGACACTCAGCATTGTGTCTGGCACAATTTAAATGTTTATTGAATGAAGTGATGAACGAGTGAGGTGGCAGAGACTATGACCAGCTTCTTGGTGCAAACTGAAATCCATCCTGACCCCCATCATCAGACCTCTTGGGGCCTTTGTTCTTTAATTCCCCCCATGTTGGCTCTCTGATAAGAGGGAACATGGCTAAAAGGGTAGCTACACAGTCAGAAATCCTCTATCCTGGGACCTCTGGTTTCTGCTGCAATCAATAGAAAGTGGGTCACAAAACAGCTCTGCAGAGCACAGATCCTTGAGGAAAAGCCTGAATTCTGTGTCAGCTTACATTTATTGAGTGACTATTGTGTATCCATTGTCACACAGCTTAATTTATTTAATTATAGCTTCAGAGGAGAGCTACAGCAGATCGTGAGGGATTTCCAGCTATAAACCCCAGCGGTGCAGACTAGCTAAGTGACCCTAAGTGACTCATTGTCCATCTCTGAGCGTTCATTTCCAAAATTATCTTTAAAATGGAAACAATAGAAAAAATAACCTTGCCAGGTTATGGGAATCAAACGAGCACGTGGAAGCGGAGCGCTTCATAAATGCTAGTTGTTATTTTTCCTCTGGGCACACGAGCCCGCTCGCCTCCTCCCAGAGCGCACATTCAGATATGTTCACACTCCCACGAACACGCTGATGCACAGAGACGTGTGCAAACGCCAGCCGGAAGAGTTCACGGAACCCCAGACCCAGCCAGGGCTGTCGCAAAGCCCAACCAAGAAGCTGGCGGGTCCCTTGTTTTCCTCCTTCTCTTTCAGTTCTTTATGAATGAACTCGGGACGCGAGGAGTTTATTTTTTTATGAATGGGAGCCCGAACCGTGAATGAAGACGGGAGCCAACCCCTACATTCTGATTGGCCCCTGCTGCTGGGAAACTCCGCCTCCCGACTCTGCCGGGCAAGTCGCGGGATTGGCGGGCGTGCCCGGCCCTGGGGTTTCATTCACAAAAGTCAATGAAACAAAGGGAACAGGGTGGGGGGAAAGACAGCCGAGGCCCAGGCTAAGGAAATGCACCAATCAGCTGCTCCCCCGGGCTCACAACTGTCTGCTGCGCCCGGAAAACAAGCCGGTTCGCTTGGGACCCGGGGCCGGGGCCGCGTCGCTCCGGCCTAGCCCCGCGGCCCTCGTTGCCCGCGCCGGGGCATGCTCGGGACCCACGGCTGCTCCAGCACAGACGCCCAGGCCTCAGGTGAGGCTGCAGGAGAAGGGAGGGAGAGTGTCTGTGGTTCCATGCCTCGCCACCAACGCACACCAGTCTCACCACCCGCCTCCGCAGATTCCAGGGCGGGGGCGGGGGAGGCGCTGGGATTCGGGGTTGGAGGGACGCCCGAGTTGTGGGCATGCGAGTGGTGTGCTCCTCGCCCGCTTCTCCGGGAGCGGCGCGCGCGCGAACACACACACACACACACACACACACACACACACACACTCTTATGTAACCGAGCCTGGGCAGAGCAGTGCAGAAACAGAAACGGCGAGCCCGGCTCCCTACAGCAGGTGGGACCTCCTTTGGCGGGAGGGGATTGGTGGCGACGCACCGCCGGGCAGGCGGAAACCTCCCCATCTCCCCAGTGAGTCGGAGAAGTTTCGCCGTCGGACCCAGAGCCTCAAGACTGTCCCTTCCCCGCTACCCCAACCGCTCCCCACAACCACCATAGTCGTCCCAAGACGGTATGCGAACGCAGCCTTCCCCCACCCCCACCCCAGGTCTCTGCCCCCGCGTGGGGCCCCGGCCGTGAGGCCGGAGGGAGCGGCCGGATGGAGCGGAGGATGAAAGGCGAATACTTGGACCAGCAAGTGCCCTACACCTTCTGCAGCGTGAGCGCCGCGCCGGCCTCCACGCCCGCCCCGCCTGGCACCCCGCCCCTACCCGCCCCACAGCCCCCCTCCCTGTGGTCCCAGAGGGGTCCTGGCTGCCCGGTCCCTGAGTCACCCCGGGACCCCAAACCCTCCCCCAATACTAGGCGCCTCAGGGTGACTCGGGGGTATTCTCCCCCTCTCGCAGAAATCGCCCGGAAATGGGAGCTTGCGCGAAGCGCTGATGGTCCCGCAGGGGAAGCTCATGGACCCCGGCTCCCTGCCGCCTCCCGACTCCGAAGGTAGGTAAAGAGCCGCAGAGGCAAATCGAACCCCTCCCCTCACTACACACCCCGAGGGCCGATCCTGGCACCTTGGCGGGTTTCCCTGAGAAGACTCGCCCTCCAAGCGACTCTGGTCATTCTCGGCCCCTACCCTCAAGGTGAGGGGGTCATCTCGGCTCTTTAGGACTCCCTCTCTCTCACCATCCCACCGCCTCACCTCCAATTCCATTCACCCCTCAGATCTCTTCCAAGATCTAAGTCACTTCCAGGAGACTTGGCTCGCTGAAGGTGAGTAATTTCATGACCTTTTCTATTATTGGGGGGGAAGGGGCTCCCGAGCTTCTGGTCTTTCAACCTAGTGCACTTCTTCTGTTCCCTTCTCCGTCTCAAGAAGTTCTCCAAGGCCTCCTCCCCAAGTTCCCTGCCACTTCACTCTCCCCAGCGCCCAGTGTGGACACTTATATTGATATTTATTTTCTCTGCCTCGAGCCAGGCTTGTGTAACTAGGCCTGGGGATGAATCAGACCATTGTGTGGGGTATTTGCTTATTTGAATGGAACTTGGCCCCAGGCCCGTTTTCCTGGTTGAAATTTTCTTTTGCAAAGTTAATAGCCAGAGCCACCAGGCTAACGGGTGTGTTGTGGGGGCTGGTGAAGAGGGGGTATCAGGTGAGGGGCAAGAGGATTGAGAAGGAGCAACTTATTCGTTACCTATTTTCAGGAGTTGCCAACACTTTGATTCTTAGCATTTTGTTTTTTTCTTCCTTCCCAACCCCCAGCACCAAACAATTTATTGTCCAAGCCAAAAGAATAACAAAAGTTTAAATAATTCTTTTCTGCAGCATTTTGGCAGAGAGGGCCCAGAATTCCCTACCCAGACAGCCTTGATTGTAATTCTAATTACAACTGCTCATCCCTCCTGAATACCTCCTCTCCCAGGCGAAGTCCCCCTTTTCCTATGTGCTGGGGTGGGGTTAGCTGCAAATTGACCCGGGGATCCTCAGTGGCCAGGCCTCATCTACGTGGGGAAGTATGTTCTGGGAGGTGTTCTAGTCAGATTCATGGGCGTGTTCTGGTGGGGCTTGGAGTGTTGCTGGTGAGAATGCAGGTGAGAGGCTTAATGGTGGTTTAGACAGTCTCTGAGAGGGAAGGGTTAACACCTGCATGTTAGAGTCCCTTTATTTAATACTCTAAAAAAACCAATAAGCCAAAACAGGACTTTCTCTTCTTTTGGACCTGACCATTCCCCTATCCTGGGTATCTTTCTTTAAGAATTTTTAAAGCTCAAACCAACTCCTCCCGAACCTTATATAGAAGCTTGGGGTAGAAGAAAAAGACCCCTGACTAGATCTTCAAATGAAATTGGGTTCATCTTGGTCACTATAGTATTATATATATGTGTGTGTGTGTGTATATATATATATATATATATATATAAATATATATATATACATATACATATATTTGGTGGCATGGTGTATGGCAGGAGCATAAATAACTGCCTTCCAAAAAATATCCATGTTGACAGAATGACTAACACAGAGCAAGCACTCAAGACATTTTGTGGAATTAATGGTTGATCAGCTGCTGGAGCAATGTAGGGTTCTGGGGTGCATGCATCTCCCCCTGTTAGGAATTATAGCCTGAGCTTTGGCCAGTCCACCCATCCTCCTCCCTCTGAGGTTCCGGAGGAGCCAGGCTGGAGCTGAAGAACGCGGAGGTGTCAGTTTCCACGGTCTCTCAAAGACTTCCTTTCCCATCGCCTGATTTCTGTCTGGCTTGCCAGGCTCCTTTCCTTGTCAGCTGAGGTCCCCACAGTGGGCAGCTCCCATGGTTGTGAGCTAGGGGTGGGCATTTTGGTAGCAGCTGGTCCATTTGCATTTGGGTTTGGGATAGGAGGGGGAGGGAAATGTTCTCATCTCTCAACCTTGGAAGCCCCACCCCCTGGCAGTGGGTCTAGGGATGGTACAGTACATGCGTCTGTCTGCATGTGTCAGTGTGACAGCGAGTGTGTGTGTTACATGCTGCTGCCCTGGGAGTCCCTGTACATTTAAATCCAGTGGGTGGGGAGGTGGGGGTGGGGATTGCAAGGCGGAGTGGGGGGGGTGGGCTGGGATCTCCTTGGTTCCTTCTCCTTCCTTCTGAGGGAGCAGCTCAGGTTCCCAGCTGGCGATGGATGGTCAGGCCTGAGGGGGGATGCTGAGGCCGCTAGCTCCTTCTCACTCTCTCTGCGGAGACAGATGCAGCTGCCGGGGCCCTGTCCCCCGGCACCATCCCAGCACCACCCCAGCCTCCTCTCCTGCCTCTTCCCACCAGGTCAGTGACCCTGCAGCCCAGGAGGAGCTTTGGGGTGGCAGGGAGGGACTAACTCCTTTGGAAACTTGCCAGTGGTGGGGCGCATCAAGAGGAATGGGGAGGGGGGGACCCAAGTTCCTTCTCTTGCTTTCTTCCTAAAGCCCCAATGGAGAGAAGCAGTGGGTGGGGCTGTGGAGAATTGGGGAATGCCCAGGTTGGATCCTGGCAGGTATAGAGACCCAGATATGGCTTGCTGAATGGTTGTGGGTTCAATGTCCGTGTCTGAGCATTGGAGATGGGTGCGTGGGGCTCTGTAGAGACAGTTCAGACATCTTTGAGGTTGGAGTTTTTCTAGGCAGAGTGGCGAAGTGAAGCTAGATGGGCGTGTCTGATTTTGGGGTGCCTGGAATCTGTTGAGGTGCTGGAGAAAGAATCAGGTTCCTATGGAGAGACCTAGGCTCAGGCAGGCTGAGCCCAAGGTGTGTCTGGTGATGGTAGGAGATGTGCTGGTTCTGGTCGAGCATGCCTTTCCAGGCTTGTCAGGAGCCTTCAGGAACTCTCGGGGACAGTGACTTTGTGGTCTATTTGGCAGTAAGGAACATTGACTCTGGGCAATGTGGCTGGAGTTTGTGGGTTCCCAGAAGCCCTGTAGAATGGCTGCGGGGGTCCTTGAGCGCTCTGATACTGCGACAACTGTTTGGAATGCACCATCCATACACAAAGGTATATAGATTTTTCTAAGAAATTAAGCTATAGCTTTTAACAGATTCTTAAAGGGGTGGGTCTGTGCTCTCTTTTGACAAGAATCACTGCTCCCCAACCTCCATCAAGGGCTCCATTTCTTGTCCTTTGGTTTCCTCCATGTCTGTAGGTCCTACGAGACCCCATGTATGGAGGGGGTGCTTGGAGGGTATGTTTTACCTGGGTGCTGCCACGTTACCACAAGAATGAAATAAAAGGAATTGGGGTGTGTGCACCCCTGAACGTGCGAATCCGTGTGCATGTACACTGGTGCCTTGGTGTGTCTGGGGGAGAGATGGGGTTAATCCTCTCCTCATTCTTTTCTAGCTGCAATGCTTCCTTCTCCATCTTTCTGTCTCCTCCCCTTCCACAAGGCTCCTGGGGCCAAAAGTCCCCTCCACAGATAGAAAACTGGTTCCTTCCAGACCAAAGCTGCCAGGGCGGGGGCGGGGTAAGGGTGCGAGACTGTAGCCCGTAGCCCATGGTGACACAATGGAGCAGGAGCGGAGAATGCCTCCACCCCTTCACAAGAAGAGAAAGAAGGTGAAAGGACATATATGGTGTAGGTGGGGGCTAAGCTATGGTGGGCCCCACTGCTTGGTTCTTTTAACTTTCCAATTCTTCTGGAGCCCCACTGAGAAGGCCCCCCTAAACCTCTTCTCTTTAATAACCCCCCCTTGTTGGGGACATAGTTCCTAAAATTCTCTCTCTCTGAGCATTATGCTGGCTTGGCATTTTTCCCACTCCCTCCTTAATCATCTGCCATGTCCTCAGGAAGATAAACTCCACCTTCGTGTAAGGAGGAGCTGGGGCAGACCCTGGCACACTGGCTTGGCAGCCAAAACTCAACCAAGACAACAAACAAATAAAGAGTGCAGTGCACACTCAAGACCAAACATGGTAATTAAAAATTCTCCTGCTCTCCAGGAACGCGAGGCTTAGCATTACTGTTCCTATTTCCATCCTTGTTGACAGTCTCTGGGTGACTGAGGCCCTGTCCTCGCCTTTTGGGAGAAGGCCAGTGTTCGGGGGAGGGGCTGAGCTGGGACTAAGGTTTTGCTTTAGCTGATTTCTCTTGGCTCTGAGACTAGAGTGGCGCCATCTCTTTTGGGGTGTGGTCTGTGTGCTGAGGGTGGCCTCCTCTGGGAATGCTGGGGAAGGGGGTTCTGATCAAGCCTTCAGTCCTGAGGCAGGAGGAGAGGCAAGGTGACCCCTAGGGCTCTCTGCTCTCTAGCACCAGTGACGCCAACAGGCGGTGCCCCCAGCCCATTACCTCAATGGAAACTGGCAAATAATGAGGCCCCAAGAGGGGGCCCAGAGTGCGTCAGCCACCCCCAATTCTGTACCTCCTCTGCCCTCGGGACACTCTTTGTCTAGGTAGCAGAGAGGGAAATGTTGCTCACCCTGTTCTCGTCATCCCTCTTCGTGCCACTTTTGGGGGTATTGTCTATTAATGGGCCAGAAGATACAGCAAGGATGAGCTTGGGTTTTGTACCCCTGGACAGCTGAGTAAGTTTTGCATTTTCCCCTTTACCAGTGCCTCCCCAATATGCCTATTCTTAAGGGTCTCCAGGGACACTTGTCAAACATGCAGATGCCCAGGCTCCACCTCTGGTCTATGGAATGAGACCCCAGGGCCAGGGCCTGGGATCAGTTTTCTAACGATGCTCAGGTAGTTTCTTGAATCAGCCAGTTTGGGAATGGCTGCGTTTGTGCTGCAGTTAGGCTCCTAAAAAGTGTGCTGGCTGCGTGTTTTTGTTTGCTTCTGCCAAAGGATTTCATATCTCACGAATTTATTTGATCACTTTAGAACTGTATTGTTATCTTGTCATAGTTCTTTTGCTGCTGGTGGTTCCTGATTTATTTTTGTTTTTTTCAAGTTTACCCATTTCTTTCTTCTAAGACTAAGAGAGAGAAACAAGCACCCCAACAGGATCATCACACTGAAATCCATCCCCGCCTCAGCCAGCCTTAGATCACGGGCACACGCATACCTACCACATTCAGGGAGGTCTTTGGATGTGAACCCAGAACCTTAGCATGTGGGTCAGACTTGCAGAATGATAGCTTACCACTGTAAGGTAACACTTCCCAGCCCCCAATTCCCGATTCTTAAACTTCCTCTCCCCAATCTCTCTGTCCAGAAGTCAACCATCAGGGCCAGCAAGTGGTGTAGTGGTTAAGGTGTTGGACTCCCACATCGCAGACTGCAGTTCGAGTCCTGGACTTGGTGGCTTGCTTTCTCACTTTACCTTTCTCTCTTTCTCTGTCTCTCTCTGGTCAAATTAAATAATAAATAAATAAATAAATAAATAAATAAATAAATAAATAAAATGAAAGAAACAATTCTTTTTTTTAAAAAAAGAAAGAAGTCTGGACCAGCAGTTAGCGTAATGGCTGTCGCTGAATGTGCGTGTAGCCAACCGCAGTTCGAGTCCCAGACCCGGTGGCTTAAACTCACACTGGGCATGTGTGCATGCGTGCCCAAGATCCCAAGAGGAGAATGGAGGAGAAGGGATTGCTGCATGGCCATCTTCCCTGGGAGGGTGATTTCTCGCTTGCTATCTGTCTTTCTGGCAAGCGCACGAACACTATAGCAAAAACCTCTCCAAAAAAAAAAGAAAGAAAGAAATCAACTACCTGGGACCAGCAGATGGCATAATGGTTACGTTGCTGGACTCTCACATAGTCAACTGCAGTTTGAGTCCCAGACCCAGTAGCTTGAAACTCATGCCGGGAGTATATGCGTACCCCTGCCCAAGATCCTGAAAGAATGGAAGAGAAAGAATGCGCTGTGGTCATCCCCCCATGGGGTGATATTTTACTTTTTTGTCTCTCTCTCTCTGGCGAGTGCATGAGCAAAAATCTCTCTAAAAAAAGAAAAGAAATCAATCACCCCTAAATTATAAACCTAAATTCAGAAGCATCTGGCACCTCTGGTACTTAAAGCAAGTTGATGAAGAATCCTCCTGCCATGCAACTTGCCATAACCTATAGTATCCCTTGTAAAACATGCTCTCCTAGAGAGGACCTGCCTCTGGCGTTACCTCGTGTATGGAGAAGAGGATGAATGGAGGTCTGGGTTGGCCAGGATGTCTTCAGTTCTTGCTCATAGGCTGGCATTGCTGGGGTCATCGCATGTGTCTGCACATTGTCAATAAATAACGCATTGTGCATTACTGGGACCTAGACCCTTTCTGGGTGATGGAGAATCAGATGACAGATATATAAGGCTTTTTCTTTTTCTTTTTCTTTTTTTTTTTTTTTTTAACACGTTTTTGCCATAGGGTATGTGAGTTCACTAGAGAGATAGAGACAATGAGAGGAAAAGTGAAAAATCACTCCCCAGGGGGATGACCACCACAAACCTTTGTCCTCTATTCTCCCTCTGGGATTTTGGGCACACACACACACACACACACACACACACACACACAGACGTGCCCAGGGTGATTTTTAAGCCACCAGGTTCGGCACTCAAACCATGCTCGGCCAT